ATAATAATAATAATAATAATAATAATAATAATAATAATAATAATAATGTTATGTGCTGTCATCATTGCATGTTTCCATACAATGGCAAAATTGGCTCTCTGCATTTCACCCATCCACCACCAGGTGGAGCAGTGGGCAGCTATTGAAAGCTCCCAGGGAGCAATTTGGGGATAGGGTATACTGCTCAGAGACACCACGAGATGTGCAATGACTGGGGATCAAACCTGGGACTTTCGGGTCCCGAGTCGGCTGCCCTGCTTCTACTCTATATTGGCCCCCATTTTGGACTAGAACAGCCTAAACACTAAAATATAAGTTAAATAAAAAAAATCAGATGCATCCAATTCTGATTTTCTTTTACACCAAGAATCTAAATATATATTTACAGTTGTCAGTTTACAGGCAGCCTGCAGACAACATTGTATTTAATCACATCGTGCAAATCAAGCTAAGGCTAGGCGTGCGGAATGTGTCCAAAACGGAAGTTAGCTTCAAGCTGTCGAACAGATCAAACTGGGCCCATTTTCCAGTTCCATATTTAAACTTTGTTTATGTCAATGGGCCTTACTGGACAAGTAAGAGCCAAATGTTAAAACAAAATACAAAACATGACAGAATGATCCGACCGACTCACTGGGTCCACATTAATCTTTGAGGTTTGGCTCTTTGGTGACAATCATCAGTACGATTAAAACGACTTAAACCTTCGACATGAAACAAACCTGCTAATCCCAGAACATCTTATCTGCTCCCCCTCCAGATCCCTCTGACCCAATTTCACCCAAAGACAACCCAACCAGAGTAACCTACCCGACAAAGCCTTCGAGTGACAAGGACAACAGGAAGAACGACGTTATTGAGAAACCAGGTGAGCTCATGTCTTTGAAAGCGCCAATTCTGAGAAAAATGGGAACTGAATGGAGGATTTATTGAAACAAAGTGGCTTTTTAGTGCCTGGTAGTTCAGCCAGCGAGGAGCAAGATAGCGTTAAGTAGTGTGCAAGAAGCACCGAGATGTGTGTGTGTTCGCAGGAAAAAAAAAAGGTCAGCGATTCGTCAGCCGGTAATTGAATGTTGCCTATAAAACTGATAGGCATCTCTGGCCCCTCAAGGACTTCTAAGGTATCTCCAGGCTGCTCACATTTCAGTTTGAACCTGCTGCTTAAGAGGCAGTTTTGAAGAAAACGATCTGATCGCCGTCTGCCTTCTTCGTAGCACTGAATTACGTTCCTGAGCCAAATCAAAGTCGCGCAGCTACGTTTGCACAGCTCGTCTCTGCGTCTACGATTGTTGTGGAACAATCAGGACCAGTGGTTTCTGCAGCAAACAGGAAAAAAAATAAAATAAGCTGACCTACTTAAACTGCAACGGTTCTCCTCGGTTCACCAAGGGCGTGGCCTCGCACTTCCAGAAGCCATGGAGATCGGACCCGTTCAACCCTTCTGTCTCTCCCCCCTTGCATCTTTCCGTCCTCTCTCAGGACCTCCTACGTCTCGTCCCTCCTTCACGGCTGCTAGCAGAGCATATGCGCTTCAGAGAGCTACAGGCACCGTAATCCTCTTGTTCAACAACGAAGGGTCTTCGCTTTGGGCTGCCTGCCATTCTATACCCGCTCCTCCCACCACGGTGAAAGCACTTAAAGGCCCACAGGGAAGCAGCGGCAGTGGAGGACGCAGTAATCCTGCCTGCTCCGGTCCTGGGTAGAACCCCCTGTCTGAGTTGGACTGGAACCAGAGTGTCCATCGCTGGGAGTTAGAACACAGCTTGCCTTCCATAATTGATGCTTCGTGACGTATCAAATATTTCTGCTTTCTTCCCCTCCGGGACCGTCAGGCAGAAAATGAAGTTACTTTTTCTGTCTCTGAATGTAATTTATCTAAGTGCCGTTTGCCTGGATCTCTGCAGCCATTGTATCTCCTGTCAGGCACTGATTGCCCTACTTTCAAGGTTGTAGTGTTTGCTGGCTGAATTTGAATAGCCACGGATCAGATGTGACCTTTACACAAAAGCTTTCTGCAGATATGTTGTTTCGCTCGGAGCTACTGTACTGCTGGCCTGCTCTCAAGTTTTTTATTTTATTTTTTTCAAAGACAATTGCAGGGGAGGGCGGCTGAATCGCTTGTTTTAAATATTTTTATTGTTAGTCAGCAGAATGTGGACTGGAATGGCTGCATCTTATCGTTCCCACCAGGTACAATAAAAATGACTTTTGGTTTTTGTTCTGGAGGGTTCTGCTCAGATCTCTGAAGGTCCACCTGAGTGTTCAGTCAGGTTGAGGTTCTGGACTCTGACTGGACGACTGCAGCACCTTGGTTCAGCTCTTTCTGACTCATTCTGTTGTAGATTAGTTGGGATCATGGTCCTGTTGGACCCAGTTTGGTCCAAGCTTTAGGTGATGGACAGATGGACTCACATTTGTCTCTAGAACAGTAGTTCTGATGATCAGCAGCTCCTGGCTGGAACCGGTTTTTCACTTTCTGTTTCTGGTTTAGTTCTTAGTTTTATTTGATGTACTATAGTCCCTCGTTTATCGTGGTGGTTACGTTCCCAGTCCTCCCGCAATACGTGAAAAACCGTGAAGTAGGAATAGTAGAACGAGCAGTATATATCTATCAGATAGATAGATAGATATGAGTTTTAAACCCTTCCCACACTTGCAATATTCTAAACAATGGTTCTAAACTAAACACTCTTAAAGAACAACATGTCATGATCTCTGCCACCTGCCGCTCTCGGCCACGCCCACTTCACTGCAATCGATAGCAGGTGGCAGAGATCATGACAGGCTGCAGGAGGGAGGTTCTCCCTGCACCTGTGGGCTGCACACGGGTGCTAAATCATTTAAAATAATTTATTTTAAATAAACTACCCATGCCGTTCTGCAGCTCATCCATCAATCAGCCGATTGTGCGTCATGTCCAATCTTACTTTATAAAACCGTGAAAGAGCGAGTCCGCGATAAACGAACCGTGCAGTAGCGAGGGACTACTGTATTCTCTGTTTTTATGAACAAATTTCAAAGATCGTAACAAAAACGGTTCTGACTCAGTTTTCCACGTTTCCGTCTTTGCAGATTTGGCGTCTAGAGAAGACAAAGAAAACACGGAGAGCGGTGGGAAATCCTCCAGCGCCATCGGCTCCGAGGTGGCCATCTTTGTCGGCATCGCCTCGGGCAGCGTCATCTTCATCATCATCATCATCATGCTGGTCCTGCTGCTGCTGAAGTACCGGCGGCGGCACCGCAAGCACTCGCCTCAGCACACGGCCACGCTGTCGCTCAGCACGCTGGCCACGCCCAAACGGAGCGGCGGCGGCAACAACAACGGCTCGGAGCCCAGCGACATCATCATCCCGCTCAGGACTGCTGACAGCGTCTTCTGTCCGCACTACGAGAAGGTCAGCGGGGACTATGGACACCCGGTCTACATAGTCCAGGAAATGCCGCCTCAGAGCCCGGCCAACATTTATTACAAAGTCTGAGACGGGTCATGGAAAGGCGGGACCTGGACGAATTCACGGGCAGAGCGGAGGAATGGGTCGGGCACGTTGCTCCTGGCCTACGAGCAGACTCTCGTCGCTCTCTCTCGGTCGACTCCTGCTCCTCTTCTCCGACGTGTCGTCACCTTTTCTTTCCTCTCCACGTTTTGCTGGTGTCTGCGCTCCGGTCAAAGTTCCGGTTCTGGGACAAGCAGAGAAGGCCGCTGCTCTCTGGGACGTAGAGCGCCGCTTTATTTTGTGCACCAGGATGACGTGAACAACGGATGTTTGGACGTGGGAGAGGATTTGTGGAGACTTCTGCCGATGGTGAACTCACAGGGCCGCTCCTCTGACGTTCACGGGGAACGGAGTGGATTTAGCAGCTGGACACAGAGGGGGTCTCTCTGGGACTTTTCCTGATAGACTCACCCGTTCACCCACATGATTAACATCACATCCACGTGCACAGAAACGCCTCACTGGTCCGTGTGAAGGAGTGTTGTTGATCACATCATCTCAACTCATCACTGTCCCTTCAGATGAAGGCTTTAAGAAACTTGTCGTCATTTCCTCCTTTGTTTTGAATCATATCTGTTTTGAATAGAGTTCGAGTGCAGATCGAGTTTTTGTTGTCCCGATCGTTCACGCAAACGACCCCGCAGAGGCTCGAAGTGTCCCGTCAAAGTGACGGAAAGAACCCGGAGGAGGTCCGCCCAGGTGGACTCTGCAGAGTGGAGGACTTCGTCTCTCATAGTGCAGCACTTTTACCCCCTCCTCTGTTTTCTTTAGTCCCTCCACCCTCCTCTGCAGTCCACAGAGAGAGACTCTGATGTTTGGAGACCTGAAAGCATTCGGGGCAATAAGAAATCCAGTTTGCCTTACTGCTGTAAGATCTGCTCCAGGTTAGTGTAGCTGGCTGAAACAGCTGTAGGTACTGTAACGTTTACCCCCAGGGGTCTAGTGATGACTATGGGTACCCTAAGGGCCCAAAAATCAGCCTGACCGGTGCTCTCCAATTCTTTTTTTGTTGTTCAACACAGAAACTTTGTCACTGTTCTCAGTCTCCATTAGCATTTCCTTTAAGAGTCTCATTTTTGACCTAAATAGATGTACATTTAAAAAAAAAAAGGACATTAAAAGAAAAAAATACAAAAAATAAATAAGAAGTAAAGCAGAATTTATTTATGAAAGACACATAGAGCACAGGTGTGGTCAGGCAGTATGGAGAAGAAGAAGAAGAAGCTAATTTTAATATATAAAGTGGTATAAGTGCACATTATGCAATCTAGGTTTGATATATATTTGGAGCCGCTGAGTCTGGAGGTTTGATGCTGTCCTGGAAGGAGGACCAGGGGAGGGCGGCCCGGGCCCTGGCTCCGGCTGCAGGTTATACCCCCCCAAAACGACAAAAACAACGTGCATTAGTAAAAACACGTGCAGAGTAGCTGTTTCTCCCAAAGTTCCCATGAACACCCAGTGTGCCCAACTCTCCTCATGCACTCCATGTTCCTCGTGCATGTGTGTGTGTGTGCGTGCGTGTGTGACCTCATTAACATCATGAACTGAAAGGCCTCCACCCGAGCGTTCATCAGCCCATCTTCATTCGTTCACAAACATCAAAATTCACCGAAAAGCCAAGCCTTGTCCGATCTGAGGTTCGTGCCTCCGAGAGGCGACAAAATCTGCAAATATGCAATTATTATTTATTTTTTTAATCAATAAAAAAAAAAAAAACACCTATGGAAAGTGTTCTTAACCACTGAAAGATGTAACAACAAACCAAGAAGAGAAAGGTTTGTCTCACCCGTCTGCTGTTCGTTTGGTTCCTGAACGTTTTGGTGCCGAAGTACAAACTGTGAGAGATCAAAGCAAATGTAACGCACCTGGACAGGTGGGTCAGGTGGACACTAACCACCGTTCTTTAGTTGCTCTGTCTGCGGCACAATCTGACAATCTTCTTAGTTTCTTTCAATCTGGCGTCCTTTTCTTAGCTGCCGCTTCACTGAAGCTCTCCCAACACGGAACCGGTTCGGCCCGGAAACGATGCAGCTTAGCCGGTTCTGCTCGGAAATGTTTTAGCTGGTTCTGCTTGTCCACCGCAGTACCAGAACTGGACCTGGTGTGAAACGCAAGCCTGTCATGATAATGAAATTTGCTGGGCGATTAATTGTCTCGGAAATTATCGCGATAAACGATAATATTGTTTAAAATTTGACAATACTTACTAATTATTGTCAAATTTAAGAATAAATGCTTATTTTTGTGTGTAGTACTTTTTTGACCACTGGATGGCAGTATAAGACTGTTTGAACTGAAGGATGGATAGTGAGGGAGCGAGCAGCATGTCTCTTTAAGAAAAATGGGAGGGAGGCCACTTGACATGACATGGGCTGTCTCTCCTTCCTGTTTTTCGGTTCTCAAAATGGCGGACGCTCGGTGTGGTTTGAGCTCTTTAGCATAGCGTTTTTCACACAAAGCTTTTAATAATAAGATTAAAAAAAAATCAGTAAAGAAGTTCTCAGCTTCTTTTTGCAGAGAAAAACAACTTTTTACACAAAAGCACTGGTTCCAAACCGTGAATTTTGGAGCTTCAACAAGACGAAGGTCGGCATGTTAGCTTAGCTCGTAGCTTATCTGCTTTTAACAATCCAAAAACGCGATTTTGGACGATTTAAACAGATTTTAAAGAGAAAGGGAGTGGTCAGTGAAGAGCACCAGAGTTCAGTCTTTTGTCATCCAGTGTCTTCAGTAGAAAGAGAGAGACACGAAGAAGCGATAAAGCTGATAAATGAAAATGAGGTTGATAATTTTCATTTATCGTGCGATTAATTGATTTATTGTTTATCACGATACGCCTAGTGAAACGTTGCACCAGTTAAAGGCCAAAGCGTTGAGCCAGAACCGGCTAAGCTGGTGAAACCCTTGTAGCGAAGCTGTGAGAGTCTTTAGCACACCTGGCTGGGAGAAGCACCTCAGGCGACGGTAAAATGCCTTGCTCGTATGGTCAACCCTCGGTCACTTGACTCAGTAATTTTGCACCGTACTTCTGTAGGTAAAGAACCTGTAAATACATCAATGTTTGTATTGTATATGGATCCTGGGTTGTTACGATAGCCTTACTCACCTTTGTAGGAAAGTGAACGAAAACAAAGAAAAAAGTGAAAGTGAAACGCACTTGGGTAAAAACAGAGCATACTACTTTTTTTGGTAAATAGCTTATGTAAATATTGACCAGAACCCAATAAAACATTTTTTAAAAACTCTTAAAGTAAGATGTTTTGTATAAAATTTGAATTTTTTGCTATGTATTTTAGCTAGCGCTCTATGGAAAGCCCGCGTCCTCCCCACTTCCTCCCGTTTTGCACTGTTTCCATGGTAATTTGGTTTAAAAGAAAAAAAGAAAAGTTGCCAAACCGACTGCTGCATATTTGTGCCATAAGTGTGTACCATAAATATTTATTGAATTAGCTTTTTTTCCTTCTTGTTTTATGTTCTGAGGATTTGCTTTCAGTCCAGTTTGTAAGTAACAGTATTATATTTGCATCGTTTTTCTTTCGTCACGTCACCGTTCCTCCTCTCCTCCCATTCCTCGCAGTATGATGATGATGATGATGAAGATGCTGGCCAGCCTGAGAAAATAAAAAATCAGAATTTTTAAGTTAATTTCAAAGAGAGGATAAATGACACACATTCCACCAGTCTGTTACAAACTGAAAATGTTCTTTTTTCAATAAAATGTTTTTCCTATGGACCCGCTGTCTGCGTTGTGTCTCTGATGTGAGTAAATAAAGTTTTTGAACGTTTCATGCAGCTCAGCAGGTTTTACACATTTATTGACCTGGTTTAAATTATATTGATCAAAGATTAATCCTCGTCCCAGTCTCGTTTCAGAGGACGATCATAGATCAGAGCTCTGGTCTGAATGGACTGTTGACCCACTCCTTCCAGTTTCTGTCAGAAAGATATCGGGCCTGCAGGATCTGCACCATCCTCTGGCTGTGATGTCATCATTTTTACCAACAAGAGCCGGTGACTGGTGGTGGGAGAGGGACGTCTGGGTCCCCCCCCCAGACCACTGACTAAAGATGGGAGACAACTCTGACGTTTTCATAACAAGTTGTTGCAGAGTTTTGAACACCTTGAACCAGAGCAGACACTGGTCTAGAACGTAAAGCCAGGGCTGACACTGGTCTAGAACGTAAACCCAGAGCTGACACTGGTCTAGAACGTAAAACCAGAGCTGACACTGGTCTAGAATATAAAACCAGAGCTGACACTGGTCTAGAACGTAAACCCAGAGCTGACACTGGTCTAGAACGTAAAACCAGAGCTGACACTGGTCTAGAACGTAAACCCAGAGCTGACACTGGTCTAGAACGTAAAACCAGAGCAGACACTGGTCTAGAACGTAAACCCAGAGCAGACACTGGTCTAGAACATAAAACCAGAGCAGACACTGGTCTAGAACGTAAACCCAGAGCTGACACTGGTCTAGAACGTAAAACCAGAGCTGACACTGGTCTAGAACGTAAACCCAGAGCAGACACTGGTCTAGAACGTAAAACCAGGGCTGACACTGGTCTAGAATATAAAACCAGAGCAGACACTGGTCTAGAACGTAAAACCAGAGCTGACACTGGTCTAGAATATAAAACCAGAGCAGACACTGGTCTAGA